ATTATGTTTTATATTATTAAAGCAAAAATAAAAAAATGAATTGCAGAAATTACACAAAAAAATGGGAAATTTTCATTAGTTTGATACTAATATCAATATATATTTTTTAAATTTTATGGTATCTTCATATTTATATTTTATTTAAAAATAAAAACATTATCGTTTTCTTAAAACCACATAAAATTGTATTATAGCATCGACTGAGACAATAATAATAATAAAACAAAACATTAAAATTGAGATGTGTTGGTCCTTTGAGGGTCTACAATATAAGTAAAACAGTTTGTAGAAGGGGGGATGAATACAAACACAATATTTTCAAATTTAAAATGTATATTGATAAAGAAGATCAATACAAATTTTACAAGACTGTTTGCGGAAAGATAAGGTAAGAAAACTTATCTAAACAATCTTTGGTTACACACAGATTTTTAACAAATCAGAAAAGAAATGTTGTAAAGAATTAGGTTTTGAGAGTGAGTTGCGCGCACTCTGCATGGAGAAGAAACACTTCTATATATACCCAGTATATTAAATGTTCATTTAATGCAAAATGGTAGGGTTAGAGTGTGTGTCAAGGCTTAAGAGGAATGATTGTCCTTTGCTACAGTGAATAGTACAAAAAAACACTATTTATGAGCAGACATCATTACCTAAAGTTGGTGGGCAATAGAGTCAACTAGTCGGCTCCATACTATACCAACGTTTAGAAGGGTATGGGTTTGTCTTTTGTGTGTATAAGGACAAGACAACAATAATCGTGCTAAGCAAGCTTCCTTTGATCGCTGAATGTTGGAATAACCTGGAGGTCTCTTCAGCATTCGCTGAGGCTTGAGCAGTCTTCACACATATGTGGACAGACTTGTAATCAATGAGTACCGCTTCAGATCACGTACTCGCCAGTCCCTAATCTTCTGTTTCAGTCTTCGACATTAGCTGAAGGTTCTTTGGTGTGAGTGTTGTCTTCTTGAAGTATTGTTGTCTCTGATTGAATTATCATACAAGTTCTTCAGCGATCATTAAACAGGCTCAGTGATTATCGCTAGAACTGAAAAGACAGAAACATAAATACAACGTTAAAGGGAAAAAGGATTATCATCAAAACACTGAGAGAGAGGATCAACAAGATGTATCTTGCTACATTACGTGGGTACCACTCTAGTTAAAATATAATATACACGTAAATTTAGTTAAATATAATGAAGCATGAAATTAAATTTTAAATTGATTTAATAAATAAAAAAATTGTTGTTAAGAAAGTATTTATAGTTAATTTATCAAAGTAAATCTATTCTACTTTAAAGTTTAAACTATAAAATTGTAAATTTAGATATCATAAATTAGACACTGTCTAAGGGTTGGGTACCGGTGATAATGGAAGTTATGGTAAAAAGAATAAGAAGAAATTTTCACCCTTAAATCAATCCTAATGGAAGTTATGATGAGAAAGATAAGAACCGGTCTAATTTATTTAATTGTCTTTTAAGGTGATGGTAAGAACAAGACTTTCATACGGATCTAGTTGGAATGGTAGTTTACCTGGTTTCAACAGGTACCCAATTCACCTGACCTAGTTAGGGGACGAGGATTCCCCACATAATCAAGTCTCCAGTATGAGGACGGGACATTGTCTCTACCTGGAGGGGATGGGGACAAGGACTGTATTCTCCACCTGATCTTGGTATAATATATAATACGTATTGTTCTCATTAACTCCTTATGACTCGTTATGAGGTTGAGGCTTGACTTTTTCGTCACGTTAATCCATGTGACTCCAGTCTAGGGATTGGATTCGACTGTAATGCCTTAAGGCGTTTTATTTTGTAAGACATGTTTTTTTTTAAAACATATAACTTGAGGGATGAATAATAATTATGTACGACATGTAAGACTTAATAAACATTTATATGGTAATAGAAAAACTAAAAAACCCTAAACAAGTAATGTTTACTCTCATTTTCGAACACGAAGAGTCGAACATGATTTTTTTTTTTTGATTAACCTGGATATCCAACCCGTTATGCAATCCGACTAATCCCAGGACGACTATCTGCTTTGCAGATAGCTCGGAGTCACCGCATTTGAACCTCCGTAGCCACAAGGGGATTTTTATTCCTCCTTGAATTTGAACCTGGAACCTTCTGGTAATTTTGACCTTTGGAGTCAAGCTCAAACCAATCAGGCACCACCCTTGTGGTTAACATGAATTCTTTTTAAGATCAAAGAAAGTAGTAAATAGAGACTCAAAAGATTTAATTCCGATTTTCAACTCTTAATATCATTTTCTTATATGTTTAATATAAATGGTTCTTCTTTCCTTATTTATTTTTATAATTTTATATGAATTTAAATTGTTCTACAAGATTATTGAAAACACCAACACACACAAGTATATACATACATATATATATACATACATATATATATATATATATATATATATATATACATACATACATAACATATATGTATGTATGTTGCCTAAGGACACGACTTGAAAACATCATGGCCTCATTGTAACTCATAAGACTTGGGGGCCGTTTACCTAAATGTTTACCTGGTAAGTGCTTAACATTAGGAGTCAACACTATAATTTACTTTATTGGGTAAGATTGTAGTACATCAAAATGTATCCTATACAACAATTTACCCGGTAAGCGCTAACCCGGGTAAGAATCGTCACTCTCACTTACCGGGTAAGACTCTCCATCCTTATCATCGCTCTTACCGGGTAAGATTCTTGGCCCTTGCCATGTGCATCCGGTGAGGAAAATTACCCGGTAAGTACTTACCGGGTAAGCGTTTAGTAAAACGGCCCCTTGCTCGCCTAGCTAGTCACGTCTCACGTTCTTTAGAACCTTAATAATATGTACATATGCATATCTATATATTACTTTTTTTGGTTCACTTGATTTGATTTATGTATTTTTTTAAGTATGTAATATTTATATATGATAAATATACTTACACATTTAATTTCCCTCATATTTGATAAGATTTAAACCTCTGACCTCACCACATTTGGTTTGCATATACTTATTGTTTACTTATACGACACCAAACGAAGGATCATGTGAGAATATGAGTTAAGCTGGAAAACGTAAAAAGGGATTTGGACCCATAACTTTAAATCTCACCTCCACCCTATAAATTGTGCTTATAATGAGGATTGATCTGATACATCTTGGTACACTATATTAGTATTGATTTTCAATTAAAACTGATTCAAGAATGTAAATCTGTTTTTCTAAAACAAAAATAATAGATTTTTGTTAACTATTTGAAATGAAGAAATTGTTTAAATTAAAATAAAGAACTTGTATTTTATTTATTGTTAAATTATAAATAAATAAAATATCTAGCGTATACTGTAAAATTGTCTTGAAGGGGCAAATAATATCGGTCTAAGAAAGTTGCTTTTAGTTGTGGAAGTTGATAATCGGGCTGCTTTCATCTTTTAGCCATTTTTTTAAAATCATTAAAATGTCAATGGGTTCGTAAGTGGTAAGTCCGTAACTTTTGGAGGGGTCAAGTGTAAAAAAAGAAAGTTTTTAAACCAGGTTCGTAAGTGTAAGGACCAAATTTGTAAATTAGTCTCAACACCTCCGCAAATTGCAGACCTGTCACTTATGGACCTAATGATATTTTGATGATTTCAAAAGAGAATTGACAAGAACCAATAATCTTACCAGATAAGAGTGATGACAAAAACCGAGAGTCTTACTAATAAGTGAGGGTAACGACTTTTACCATGGTTAATGCTTACCGGCTAAAGTTGCATATGATACTATTTTGGTTGATTAAAATCTTACCCGATAAGTAAGTAATAATGTTGAATTTTACCGATAAGCGTTTATCGGGTAAACGTTTGGTTAACGACCCCTTAGGCGGCGTTTGGTTTGTTCAAATTCGGCAGGATTTAGGAATTGAAATGTTCAATTTCATTGACCAAATTTCATTTCTACGTTTAGTTCATTATTTTAGCTTCGATAAGAAATTCAAATTCCACAGATAATGGAATGTAAATTCCTTGGATTTTAACAAGGAATTTCAATTCTTTCATACCATCTTATAAGAAAGAACTATTATATTCTTATATTTACTCAATTTCATCCTACCATGATGGATGTCACTACCGTTGCTGTCGCCGCCACCATCACTGTCACCTTCATCTCTACCACCACTGTCGTCATCGTCATCGCCATTACTACCACCACAACCACCACCACTATCGCCTCCAGCCAAGGTTCAAAATGGCATGAGGCATGACGTGACAGCTAGGTCAGGCCTCAAGCGTTACAAGCTATGGCGAGGACACGGTGTTTTTTCAAGACATAACATAAGACAACAAATTTATATGTTATATATATGTATATATATATATATATGTACATACATACATGTTTTCCATATATTATTCTGGGGATAGGTTCAAACGAGAAGTTAAACATTTTGCGATAAGACGACAAATGTGATATCATATATGATACACAAACTTAATCATATATGATTAAACATATCTTACATTGACAATACATATGCGTTTAATCATATATGATTAAACACATCCAAAGGCCGAGTAATCATATATGATATCACACTTCTTGCATTTTCGCAAAATATTTAACTTATCGCATGATCCTTCCTTTTTATTTCTAATCAGATAATGATATTAAAAACTGTAAGAAGGAAAATCATATGAATTATTATTATAAAAATATTTTTTTGTTAAATATGTATAATAGAATTTAGAAAAGTAATTTTACAACTTTATTTTAGTCGTAGGTCCATAACATTTATTAAACTCATAAAATTGTGAGTGATGTGATTAAATAAATCTATAAAGTAACGGGTAGAAAACCGAATTGCTATTTGGGTTAATTTCTATAAAAAAAATATCTGTTTATAAAAAAATAATAAAAAAAGGAGGCAGCCGACACCACTCATTCTTCTCTCCCTCTCTGTCAGTTTAACTGCAAACGGTCTTCCTTCCATTCCTTAACCTTTGCACTATAAATACCACCAACTCTCTCTCTTTCTCTCCTGCTTTATCTCAATAATCAATGGCCACTGTTCATGTGAGCAACGGCTCAATTGCCGATTCTTCGCCATTAAAGAAGTCGCCGTCCTTCCGATACGCTCGGAAAAAGTCAATATCACGGACCGCTACGGAGATCGACGATATCATTAATCACTTGCATGGCTCCGATCCCGTCCGTTTCGAGCTTAACCGCCTCGAAAACCAACTGCGAGGTAATTTACTTCATTATTCTCCAATTTCGATCTGTTCGGTTGATTTCTTTTACCCATTGTAGCAGAATTTACTTAACTTTGACTCTTTGAGCATTGCTCTCAAATCTAGTATTCAATCAAGTTTTCAAGGCAACACTGATGTGAATTTTGTTGCAAAGTTAACACTAAAAGTTTGCTGTATATGTAAGCAGTTTCTAAATGCAGAATTGACATGGATTTCATAAGAAAACATTAAAACGAATTTTATCGATTCCGTTTGGAAATTGAAACTGAAATGTACTCGTAAAGCCTAACTTAACGTCAATTCGTTAAACTACTTTCCTTTGTGATTTGTAGGTTTTTGACTTTTTGCATAAGCGAGTACTAAGAGTTTTCGAGTGTGAGGCTGACTACCTACTTCATGAAAAAGTTTTGAGAAAAGTAAACAAGGGAAATGAAATTTCAAATACAGCATTTTCTGTATTTTTAACAATTTTTACTTGAGAGTTGATATAGATACATGATAATCCTTGAATCTGTTTATTTTGGCAGAGAAAAAGAACAAATAAACAAAGAGAATTGAAACAATACATAGTTTTATTTTTTACAACCTTGGCGTCCAAAGCTTTGAAGCAATATATTGGGTAATTGTTAAGCAATATATTGGTGTACTTGGTGGTAATAACTTTTACAAACTACACAGGCACACAACCACCTCCATAATAGGCCAAAACCATGGTTGGTACCCGTGGTCCCAAATGCTGCTTGGTCTGTCTTTGGTACAGTAGTATACTAGTATATACATACCAAGATCTGAGCATTCTACATACAAACTACTTGTGGATCCCGAGTCCTGATATTAGTTTGCTTAAGAGGATTGGGGGTTGGTTCAGATTGCAATTTGCACCATTCTATGAACCTCATGACAGACAATTGAATGATTTCCGTATTTGGAAAAAGTTAATCCATCTGCTCCAGATAAAGAGTTATGAAAAGGTTAAAAAACATGTATGTCAATTTTAAAATAGAGAAATATAGATCTGAGTCTCCACAATCAAGAGTGGAATCATGATTGGATTCTGTTTGTAGTAATGATGGTGTAAATAGTGAGGACATAATTTCATGGAGTTTGGATGATCTTTTAAGCAAAGTTTCTACTTTAAGTATAGCAATAATACAWTGTATAAGATATTTTTGTGTTTTAGTCTAATTGAACATTTAAGTACATTTTTTAGTAATGATTTAGGCCAGAACTGGAATCTTATATAGGTTGTGTGTTATCCTAACAATTGTTTTGGTTCCCAAGTTCCTATACCCAAGGCTGAAGATAATAATTCTGATCATATACTTGAACTTCTTTTGCTAAAACATTATATTTTCTACTTTTCCAGATAAAGATAGGGAACTAGGAGATGCATATACAGAAATCAAGGCATTGAAGTATCACGAGCACCTTAAAGAGAAGGCAGTGGAAGAGGTGCTGCTATTCTTTTGCATTTTCGATCTATAATTACCATTGATTTTTATGTGTTATAGAGGGTTCTAAAATGTCTCTTGGCCGATAATTTTATTATCTCTATGCTGTTGCAGCTAAATGATGAGCTAAACAAGGTGGATGAAAAGCTTAAGAAAACTGAAACCCTTTTGGAAAGCAAGGTACCCCCTGTCCCCACGTCTTAGTTTTACTGCTACGAAGTTTATTTCTCTATTTGATAACAGCGACTTTGTTTAGCATGAGTTGATCGAGTTATTATATGGGTTTCCAGAATTTAGAGATTAAGAAGATACATGATGAGAGAAAGCAAGCTCTAGCTGCACAATTTGCTGCAGAAGCCACGCTTCGAAGAGTTCATGCTGCCCAGAAAGATGATGAGATGCCTCCCATTGAGGCGATTATTGCTCCATTGGAGGCAGAACTCAAGTTGGTTAGGACAGAGGTAAAGATTCTAAATTACACCCACCATATAGAATTTTCCTGATCACAGAAGAAGGAAAACAAAAGGAAAAGGATATTTGATAAACATAGTGGAGACCAAGATTTCTGATTCTGTATGACAATCTGCCTCTATCAGGTATCGAAGTTGCAGGATGACAATAGAGCGCTGGATCGTCTCAGTAAATCTAAGGAATGTGCTCTTTTGGAGGCAGAGAGAACTGTTGAAATAGCCATGGCAAAAGCATCCTTGGTTGATGATCTTCAGAACAAAAACCAGGAGCTGATGAAACAAATTGAGATATGTCAGGTTAGATTATTACAAGTCTAATTTCCTTTTCCAGTATTTTAGTGTTGATGAAGACACCTAGCCTGTTGATAGCATATTTGCTATATTTGGTTTATAATGTTGACTTGTGGATGCTTATGCAGGAGGAAAACAGAATTTTGGATAGAATGAACCGACAGAAAGTTTCAGAGGTTGAAAAGCTGACTCAAACTGTTCGTGAGCTTGAGGAAGCTGTTTTGTCTGGCGGAGCTGCTGCCAATGCTGTGCGCGATTATGAGCGTAGAATGCAAGAGATAAATGTAATTAATTCTCTCTCTCTGTGGGAATCAACAGTTTAGTTAAGTTTAGCAACTTGGAAAGAATTATGTTTTTATAGTTGGTGCTGATTTCTAAAAGCTTGTGTAGGAAGAGAAGAAGGTCTTGGACCGTGAATTGGCTCGTGCTAATATTTCCGCAAATCGAGTTGCCGCTGTAGTGGCAAATGACTGGAAAGATACCAACAACAAAGTAATGCCTGTAAGGCAATGGCTGGAGGAAAGAAGAGTTTTTCAGGTATTATTTTTTCTTATCCTTTGTGGCTAAATATGTTATACATTATTTGGTTCTTTTAATGATAATCCAGCATGTATTATATTTTTGGGCCTTTTTCAGGGAGAAATGCAGCACCTAAAAGAAAAACTAACAATAGCAGAACGCACTGCAAAGGCAGAAGCACAGTTAAAAGTGAGGGAATTTGCAATTCATGATATTTTTTCTTTATTGTTTCTAATTCAAAACTTAACTTTGGTCTTATAACTGTTGCGTCCATAGGAAAAATACCAATTGCGTTTCAAAGTTTTGGAGGAAAGATTTAAATCATCTCGTAACGGTGTTTCTTGCACTGCCCCAGAAAGAACCGTAAGCAATGGACATGCAAAACGTCAATCTCTTGGAGGTCTTGAAAATTTATCAAGATCAACCTCTAATAGATATTCATCAAGAAATTTACTTAGGAATGGAAGCATCTCATCTAAAGTACATGACTCTAGCAAGTTAGTAGATTCTGATAAGCTGCTTCCAAATGGATCTGATCATGCTGCTGATGAACATGTGACTAATAACGGGATAAGAGGTTTATATGAGGAAAATGGGAATGTTAAAGAGAAAAATAAGTCAAACCCTGAAGATTCTGTATCTGGAATGTTGTATGACATGTTACAGAAGGAAGTTTTGACCTTACAGAAAGCTTGTCATCAAAAAGATCAGAACGTTAAAGACAAGGACAAGGCAATTGAGGTTTGCATCTAACTCTTCATCATTTTGTTGGAGTCCGACATCAACTAGATTTGAGCCATTTTTCCTCGATAAATCTTTTAACCTCCTTCTCTCCTCAAGGACTCATTTGGAGTGTAACATAATGGGGTTTCACCTACTCTATCATGGACTCAACACTTTGTGGCAATCTATACTCGTCAGACTCCTCTTGACACTCAGGGCAATTTATGCCCATCTAGTTGGAAAGGGTGTATTAGGGTCCTGCATTGGCTAGATTTGGACCCTTTCTCCTCAATATATGTTGGAACCCCCTTCTCTCCTCAAGGGCTCTTGTGGAGTGTAATGTAGTGGGTTCCACATATTCTACCATGGTAGTAGAGCCAATAACTTGACACTCTGTAGCAATTTGTACTCGCCTAGCCCCCTGACTCTCTTGGGACAACTTGCGCCCATCTAGTTGGAGGGGGTGTGTTGGAATCCTACACCAGCTATACTTGGACCCTTTCTTCTCAACATGTTTGGACCCCCCCCCCCTATTCTATCAATTTAGATGTCGTTTGTTATGTGAGTAGGTACATAATAATTCGAAACTTGCAGATATTGTCAAGGAATGTTGAGACACTTAATAGAGCAATAGAAGTGGAAGGCAAAAGAACAAGGAGAGAAATAGCTGCCATGGAAAAGGAACTTGCTGCATTGCGTGTTGGTAAAGAGCGGGGAAATCAGATGGGACGGCGTCCTAGTGTTCCCAGGTAAAATCTTCATGTATACACCCACTACATTTGTTACCATAACTACAAATGCTACATTTGACTGAAGGGATCAAACAAAGCATTTCTTTAACTACAAAATTCATATGGATTTTTTAAAGGGCAAATTATATGAAAATGCAAATATACTTCGATCCAATTCATATTTTGTGTAACGTATTTCCATAACCTTCATTTTGGTAGCTCAGATATGACATCTCAAACATTTCGGTATCTGGTTTTCATATGAGAGTGGATGAAAATGCAACGTACTTTAGTCCAATTCCTATTTTGTGTAACATACTTTGTTCTTAAATGTTTGATATATCACATCTGAGGTGCCAAAATGAATGTCATAAAAGTACGTCATATGAAATAGGAATCAGACCGAAGTAGGTTGCATTTTCATACGATCTATCTTTCTAAGAGAAGTCCAAATGCAACTTCACAACTACAACTACAATGAACATAACAGAAAAAAGGAATCTCAGTTGGTAAACCTCGTTTATGAAAGATCTTGTAATTGTCAGATTGACGATTTGACATCCATCGAATGCAACTAAATACGGGAAAAAAAGGGACAGCTAAAAAATTATTTAACAAGATTTGAACTTACAACTTAAGAACTGTAGACATCCACTGATACAATTGAGACTGCCTGAATACCACATTACATATACACCACTATTCATTCTTTCATCAGTTTATATATATATTTTCTTGGGTTAAAATTTATATATAAATGTGTATCAAAACGGACCTAATTTGCATTCTCTCTTTTGCTATGTTCAGGACCCGTGTTATGAGTTGATTTGTAAGAAGAAAACACGTTAGATTATACGAATGAGGTAGATAGATTATAGGGTTTATTCATTACTTCTGTAAAATAACTAATCTTGGGTACACTTATGGTATCATTTTGTGTGTCATTTTGTATTTGCAATGTGCAATAAAATGTATTCTCAATACCTTTAAGATACATAACCAAACTGACCCTCAAAAACCCAAGATTCAGCAAGTCTCTCAGCCTTTTGCACTCCTGGCTTGGATCCGTAAGATGTTTTGGTAACCATGGGTGTCCGGCCCAGTTTGCATGCACTCTGACTAATCCTATGGGACGTGGAAGTTAACGGTCAATAAGTGGTTGTTTGGCAGTTGCTGAATGGTTTGGTGTAGAATGGTTAAGTGGTCAGAATGGTTAAGAGGACCAGAATGGTTGAGTGCTGAATGAAATAATGTTGTTTGATAACTGTTCTCTGAATGACAACAAATTATCATTTTAACCCTCTGTAAGATACACTTGGACCAGAAAAACCCGTGCTCAAAAATATTTTCTTTTTGGGCACAGGTTTTGGCGATAAAAAAATAAAATGGACTCAAGTAGGGTTTTCTGTAACGTATTAATAAGCTATACCCATGCTACGGGTTGTTTCATGCCATAAATAAACTCGAACACTCAAGAAATCCGTTGGGCAGGCGGATTCACATCTCTTACAA